AAAAGTGTACGTAAGTCAGACTTTAAAGATATTAGCCCCCTTTTTCAATTAACACAAAATAGAGTTATTTCGCGACAAAAACAATTTTTACGATACACACATCGTAAGTTGAATAGTGATTTTAATTATTATAAAATTTGCGTAAATGATTTTAATTATTATAAAATTTGCATAAATTTTACACTTTCTTTTTATTTTGCATTTTCCATTTCATTTTTATTGGGGAAGTTTTATAGTTTGAATTTTTTTCTTTAAATCAAGAGATTTTTTTAATCGGTAATTTGTTGAATTGGCAAATTAATAATTTTTGAATGCTGATTAGTTTAGCAAAGTTATCATTTCCAGCTCAAAATGAATGAAAATATGGTGACAAAACTCCATGCTGAATACAGTGATAGTATTTGTAAGAGTAATTATGATTCTCGAATTACGATAAAATCTTCTATGCCAGTATCTGTCACTCAAAGTTACTTCGCTGGTGATGAGATTGGTGACAGTTTTGCAGGTATATTAAACTGTGATAAACCTAATCCCTCAAACAATAATATAATTTAATATTTAATACAGCTGCAGATCCTTTCCTCCATTTTTTGTTAGAAGAAAGAAAGAAATTTGGAGATCTTTCGGTCAAAGTTTTATTGGAGAGTCATTTCAATGTTACCGCTGAGAATGGCTGACCGAAAATATTCATTTTTGTTACCCAAATCAATACCCAATAATAGTCATGTAATTATATACTTTTTTTGCCGTCAAATCAAACGACAAAAATATCAGTCGCAGCAGAATTTGGTGGGAAGGGAAGATTTCATGAAATTGAAGCTAAGGTGAATTTTTGGAAATTTTTTTTTGCTTCCACAACCTTATCAATTCTCAGTATGTTATTTAAAATCAATTTGATATTAACTTGGATAACGGTATCGTATGCAACAATGAAGCCACTATTCATTATAATTAGATTATAGGTGGTATAGGTTTCTTTTTTGCGGCCCGGTTTTAGTGATAAATTCGTGCCGGAAAAGCACAAAACGATTCATTTGTTGTTTACTTTCTTTTGCTAAATCTAGTCATTGGTAGAGTTATTGCTTATGAACGGTTCATGAACGAATGTGCTTTCTGATTTTTGATGAATAGATATGTCATAACTTATCTTTACTCTTTCGTTCTTTAAGTACTAAAATCCCAATTAAAAACATAAAATATTTCAAGCTAAAAGTTCTTTCGATAAATTCCAGATAGAAAAAAACTCTCCTATTTTTGCATATTATGGATTTGCTAAAGAACTGTCGCTGAATTTATTGAGTGATAATCCGTTGCAAACGATGAGAACTATACAACGATTGTTATTAGCTAATGATACTCGAAGCAGATGAGAACTACGTAGATTATGGTTGCGCAACGACAATTCCTACTATGCAATATGACATTGATTATATTGATATCAGTAATTCCGTTAATGTCCCCTACGGTCTCGAACCAAGAAAGATGGAAATACACGAGACATAAGATGTAGGAAGCTGCTGCTTACTTTTTGAGAACATAAACAGAATCAGCCTCGAGAAGACAACGCGGAAAAAAAAAGTATCTCACCAATATCGCCGAAAGAGACTTTCCACTGTGCCTTTTGCAGCCGAACTTCTTATCCGGCATCGGTCTTCTTAGCCATCAGCACACTTGCAGCAAGTGTAGATACATTCCCTTCCAATATCTTCGTTTGTGAAACTTAATCACAACAGTCGAGAATTATTGGTGGGAAACAAAAAAAATATTTCACCGAAGCTCTTTGTATCAGTCAGAGATTATATACATGTCAATGGTCAGCCATCTGGTTGACAATTTAGCATGGGACATCGAGGAATCATGACATATCAGCGAATGCTGAATTTATATCACACATGCATTAATTTTACTATAACTCTAAAATTTTGTCGTAAGATTTATATACTAAAGGATGATTGATTTTATCAATGAAATTCTTATTTCCAAATTATCGGTGATATTTCAGCACTCCGAAAATTGCTTGTGTAATCGTTACAACACCACATAATCAAACCTAAATAGACTTCGACAGTTTGCACGAAATGTTAATTAAAAAGTTCAAATTAGCGACTGAAAACTTACGAAATATTGGAACGACTCTTATATGAAACACAAGATAACCAATCATTTCATGCCATTTTTAATCGTTTTGAAAAAGGATTGAGAAACTTGAATGATAGCAACTTAAAATAAAAAGGTCATTTTTTAAGGAAAATTCTTTAAATTTGAAGGATTTAGTGAAAATTACCAAATTTTGTTCAGCAAATAAAATTAAATGAAAGTGTTGCTTCGATATTTGACCCCTTGAGTTGTGTATTTCGTTATTTTATGCATTTTTAGCAAATTTCCCAATCACATTATGCACTTAACTTTTCATGTTATCCACGTAAATTTACGTATGCGTAATCCAGTTCGTTCAGAACTACACAATTAGCGCAACGTACATGTAGACGCTAGATAATTCAAAAATTTGAAGTACATTAGAGTCGATTACTTTGCATATTTTATCACTAACTTTGCAATGATTACTTAATAGTTATTTTATTATTACCTCTGAAATACTCAATTCCATATCAGAAGATGTCAACGTTAAGGGCCAGTATGGTCAAAAAGCGAAAAAGCCAAAGAGCCAGTAACGCGACCATCTCGAGGGCAAATATTAATTAGACCATTCATACAAGTGTTGTAGTAGTTAGTGATAAAGTATCTTGTTTTTGCTTACCTGGGATAATTTCATTAGTTAGGGGTTGAAAGTGTCATCATAATCGAGCAAGCATGGTCTACTTGAAGAGTAACAAAATCAACATGATTTAAAATAGGTCAATAAACTTAACATGGTCTGAAATAGGTCATTACGATTAAAAATAGAGTTAGAGGAATCTGAGTCAATTTTCAAATGAATGATCAGACTGGAATTTATTTTGATTTGGAGGTTTCCTTTCCTCTTATCTTCATTCATATTCTGTTGAACCTGGCCTATGAATATTATAGCAGCTATTAGCATCTAAGTTACAGGATAATGAGTTTAGGCACATTATTCTATGTGCTTAAGGCCAACCAGATCTATCAGTAAATGAGTCAATAGAAGGGCTGAGCGAAAATGCTTCCTACATTGCTTTTTGAGAAACAAAATACCAGAAAGAGCGAACATCCTGGAAATAACTTCAATACCGTAAGACTGGTCACTTTTTCAAACATTTCGAAAACCGATTCTATTTGCACCCTTATATTCGTAAATAATCGATTTTCAGCAACTCAATACCAACAATTTACATCTATCCTCACGAAGTTTATCGAAGTGATACTTATCATTGTGACGGTATTTGTTGATACTTGCCGTCATGGCGATAATTTAAATCATTGTTCTAGAAACAATGATCCAAGTGTTGGGAAATTTGTTTTTCTGTTGAACTCGTTTCTCGGCGATGCAGATTTATTCGGGAGATAATATTGTTCTTGCACTAATTAACAACAAAAAAAGGAGTATAAATATGTATGTATATAACACGATGAATTGGTGAGCAATGATAAATGAGTTTCGGAGTTTTTCCATTCCCGACTGAAGAAGAATATTGCCTTCAGAAGTTATAATGCTGGGTGTTTGAATTCGTATTTGAGTAGCATTCCTAGTTGTTGAGGCTACAGGTCCTTTTTGTTGATTTGGTTTTTCCATTGGTTTCTTAGAAGCTGTCGGTTGAATTTCCGAATTTTCTTCAGCAGTTATTTCCAAGGGGTATAGTGCATTTACTGGTCTATTGAGAAGTTTCCCGTTGGGCATCTCTACCAATGCGCTGCTTATCACCCCGTCTCTACCTTTTTTTGAGTTCTTTTATCCTTGCCAACTTCTACAAGTCTCGAGGCGTTTCTGGTTCATCTACTAATACAATTTCTTCCTCTCTTAGCTTACGATCTTCTGTGCTTTTGGGATTTACTTGTTCTTTTTGTGTTCTTTCCCTGAGACTCATTAAGTAGTCCCTTTTTCATGCTTCCCAAAATATATCGAGTACCTTAAGCGTCCAACCAGTATTTGATTATTCGTTCCTTTGTATCAAGATTTCCTGGTTTGAATTAGTCCTGGTCGTCATCCACTGTTGGGATGATTAAAAAGGCACTAGAATGTATAAAATCGATTGGGCGTATTATCTTGCAATCATCGGAGTTAGCATAAGTCAACGGCCGGGTATTCAATACACCCTCAATCTCGACGATCAACGTCATGTGTTCTCTTCCCCATAACAGTTTTCTCCCATTAGCTGTTCTCATAGCTTTCTTGGTCAATCCTATATCAGTCGCTCGTAGAGTCCGCTACTCCAAGGAGCTCTCGGTGTTATATTTCCCCAAACCATTCCCTTTTCTGCTAGGAATTCATCTATTCTAATGTGTACTTGCTCCTTCATGGCTTTGAAAACTACTTGGGAATGGCCTGCATTGTCGCTCAGAACTCGTTCCAGATAGCCACGTCGTGAGATGAATCTCCTTAGCACGTGTGGAAAACTTTCAGCTGACAAATTTTCTACAATTTCCAGATGAACTGTTCTTGTTGTGAATAGGACAACCTATCTTTTGGTTACTCCAACATCGATTTTGATGGAGAGGGGGCCAAAATAATCCAATCCAATTTTGGCAAAAATCCTTGAACGTGAAACCGGTGATTCAGGAAGATTGGGCATAGCTGGTAATTTAAATGGCTTAGTTGTCCAAAGTTTGCAGCCCGCACATCTCACCTCCATTCGTCCTTTCGGTATCCAAATTTTGCGCCTCATTTCCGAAAGAACATGCGCTGTTCCAGCGTGATGTAACTTTTCATGTTGTTGTCGTATCAAAAGTTCGGTAACCTTATTATGCCTCGGTGAGTAAATTGGATGTTTGCTTTCCTCGTCTAGTTCCGAATTTTCCAATCGACTTGGTGATCTCCATAGCTTTCTGTCGTGTATTGGTGATGAGAAATGTCATTTTATGAAATTGAAGATGTAGTGGAATAAAATAAAACAAACAAGTGTAGACTAATTGGATTTTTCGAAAGAATTAAACTAAAAATGGAAGAATTTTAGGAAAGTATGAAAGTTATTCCGATGTAACCGTAATATTCTCAATGATTTTTAGACGATTATCTTAAAAACTTAAGCCGAAACAGAAACTAAACAAAATCAGATAACAATCAGCTGAATAGTATGTAATCATAAGCTTTAAATGAATTGGTATAATAAAACAATGAGTAAAAGCTGCGAATTTTGTTTGTTTATGCCATTTCTTGCAATTAAAAACAATAAATGGCCAATTTATATTAAATTAATACAAAACAAACAAAGCCTTGTTGTTCAATGTTTTCATATAAACGTAGCAATCGATCGTCCTTCAACTGTCCAATATCCAACTTCCCATCAAATAAAGCAAGCTGATGTGATGGAATTATTTCTTCCAGCAAAATAACTAATAGAATGATCAGATTCAGAAATCGTAACATAATCTATATCTTTTCCTCAATTCTTTTTTTTTTCTTTTTTAATCCGAATATAGCGTTAATGATAATAAATTGGAAGTAGTAGTAGTAGTAGCAGCAGTAGTAGTCGTCGTAACAGTACTAATTCATACATCAAAAAAAATCGAAAGAAACGTCCTTCCACAATAAAACTTGAAATCCGTTTCTGACATTGCACACGAATGCTCACTATGAATAACTTTTACTTTTTTGGATTATTAAACTGAAATCGCCAAACTGAATTGTTTAATACCAAGAAATTAAGCCAAAATTAAAACATATTTATTGCAAACGAATGAAAGGTACGTAAACATTATTACATGTCTTCTTGTATCCATATGACAGTCAGAAAGAAACTTTATAAAATTATTACCTTTGATCTTTTCCATACAATTCATTAT